GTCTCTGTTTGTTCCCCTGTAATAATCACGGGATGTTTTCTAGTTACTCAACAGATAAGAACTCCTTATCACTCTTGGCATTTTCACATGCTTTCCTCTTTTTTATTTGGAAGTTTGTACTTTTCCTGCTGTTGGCCACCCGTCCTGAGAGCACAGCCAGATGTCCAGGGGCTTTCAAAGAAACGTGCAACAATCCCCTGGGACTCAGTATCTTCACAAGATATTTTCAAAGGACTCAAAATGACTGGCCTTCCAGAAAACACAAACACCACATGAAATAAGATATTTTCCACTCTGAACCCAAAATTCATTTTTCACAATCCCATGGCCTAAGCCCTAATGGGACCACATGGTACTCTTCTGTCCCCCAAGAACCAGCTGTAGCTGAGTTGACTCTCAGCTCCTGAGAGGCAGGCACACCTAACCCTCCATTTAGGCAACTTTCTTCCAAAGTTCTAGATGTGGGCTTCACTGTGTTGGACACACACATGTGTTTCCTGTTTCAATCATAGATCAAAGGCGTTGCTTATTTTTCAACTACAGACCATGAGCAAGCTCAAACCCATCACTAGAAATATCCCAGCATCAAGACATGAAAGTGAATGGCCAAAAAATCCATGCTGCCTCTGAGATTGCCACTCTTGGAGCCTCAGGAGGCTGCGTTTGTTCCATCTCTGGTACACACTCTCCTGAAAAGTCTGTTGCCTGAATTTGCTTCTCCGAAGAACACTGCATTGGTTTCCCGTGGGCGCTGTAATAAATTACCATGAACTTGGTGGCTTAAAACAACAGGAATTAATTCTCTCACAATTCTGGAAGCCAGAAGTCCACAGTCAGCTTCACTGAGCTAAAATCAAGGTGTCTTCAGGGTGGCACTCCCTGCAGGGGCTCTATGGGAGGCTCCATTCCTTGCCAATTGCAGTGTTTGGTGGCTGCTGGCATTCCTTGGCTTGTGGCTGCATCACTCCAACACTAAGGCCAGCATCCCTATATCTCTTTCGGCTACCATCACATCTTCTTCTCCTCTGTGTGTGTCAAATCTCTCTGCCTCATCTTATAAGGACACTAGTGATAGAATTTAGGACACACCAGATAATCCAAACTAATCTCTCCAGTTCAAGGTCCTTAATCACATTGGCAAAAGCTTCTTCTCCAAATAAGATGACATTTACAGGTTCCAGGAATAAGGATGTAATATTTCTGAGAACCATTTTTCAACCTACTACAAAAGCCTCCCCGCTCATTCTATAGAGAGATGAGTGTGAAAAGGCTCACCACACTCCTCCTGAAAGATCTCAAGTTAGGGTTGAAAACATTTATACACATAAATATGTATTAATGACTCTATGTATTAATAAGAGATGTATATTCATTTGGCACGTGTCATACATATTCAGTACATATGTGCAGAATTTAAAATCATCTACTCTCTAGCATCTGAACTGTGCTATTACTATCATCTGCTGAAGTAGATCATCGGCCTCTGTATTCTTGATATTTTTGGCTGAATAATTCTTTGTTGGGGTTGAATGAGGAGCTATTCTGTGCATTGTAGGATATTTAGCCTCATCCAGCAAGTAGAAACATAGGAAGCCCAGGCCAGGCGCAGTGGCTCACACCTGTAATCCCAGCACTTTGGGAGGCCGAGGTGGGTGAATCATTTGAAGTCAGGAGTTCAAGACCAGCCTGGCCAACATGGTGAAACCCCACCTCTACTAAAAATACAAAAATTAGCCAGGTGTGGTGGCGCACGTCTGTAGTCTCAGCTACTCGAGGGGCTGAGGCAGGAGAATCGCTTGAACCCAGGAGGTGGAGGTTGCAGTGAGCCAAGATTGCACCACTGCACTCCAGCCTGGGCCACAGAGTGAGACTCTGTCTCAAAAAGAAAAAAAAAATACACAGGAAACCCAGTTGTAATTGAATTTCGGTAAAACAATGAACACTTTTTTAGCATAAGTATGATCTCTATAATATTTGGTACCTTCTAATACTAAAAAAAGTATTATTTGTTTACCTAAATTTAAATAAAACTGAGTGTCCTGTATTTTGTGTGTCAATCTTATACCAGATGCCAATATGCCAGTAGCACACACCTACCCTCACCGCTAATTGCAACAAACAAAAATGTCTTCAGACTTTGCCAAATGCTCCGTGGGAGGCAAATTACCCCCAGTTGAGAACCATGTATCTACCTGAAAAAATAAATAGAAACCCTTGGAAAATAGAAAAGATTGAGAAAAATACGTAGAATTGTTTAAAATATGTGCACGTTGGCAGTTGTTGCCACTAACCCACTAAGCTATCAGGTCCAAGGGCCACAGGCCACACGGACACTAGTGTGGCTCTGGGGGAACGTGACAGCGTCACTGTTGGTGGGGGACATGGTTTGGAGAAGGCAGCCTGCTTGGAATAATTCTGCCTATCCCTTTTCTTTCACGCCTCGGAGCCTCAGGCTAAGCAGCAGGACCAGACATGATCTCCCACCCCCCACATTCACCTTCTAATTTATTTTAATTATTCTCTTTTTCCCCCCTTAGTCCTCAGGCTTCATTTAGGTGCAAGTGGCTCACTCAAGCAGCTAAGTTTGAAGGCGCCAGCAGACAACTGTCTGGCAGAGCTATGCTGTGAGGTCCCTCCACTGAGACTTCTGATTTTGAACATGTCCCTACTGGTAGCAAAAGCTAAACAAAAGAGGGACCGAATGGGTGTGTGCCCCCTGCCTCTCTCTCCACCCCTAGGCCCCCATGTCTCTCCTCTCTCTCTCTCTGTCTCACACACACACACAAACCCCTCCCCGTTTTCTTTCCTGCGTCTTCAGTTTTTTGCCCAGAGGCAACACTTGCCATTCAAAGTATCCATGACTCACCCAGCCTTTGGTATAATAGTAACTCATTACTCTTTCTCCCCACCACCAGCTGCCTCTGCACTGTAGCAAATATAAACTTGATGTTCATACACACAGATAGCAATCGGGTGCACATATTGTATGTCTATGTAAACAAAGCCATGTGTATTTATAGACCCATATCAATGACAGATCTATGTGGAAAGATAATGGGGGTTTTACAGACCAAAAAAAAAAAAAAGATGCAAGGCTTTGAAGCCTCTGACCCAAAATAAAATAAAATACCAAATAATGCTCAGCAACAAATCCCTTAATAAGGAGGAGGAGGCTGATCTCTGTCCCACAGCTGGTGGAGTCTACAGGGGAGATTTGTTTAGGAGGAGTCAGACTCTCACAATATGGAAGCAGGATTTAGGTTCTGTTCCTGAATCATCTGGTGAAGGATGAGCATTTCATTGTTTGCTGTAAGCTCTTAGTTTCTTGGAGTCACTAACACCATCTTCAAAGGGTTTGCATTAACTAACTGCACATGGCCTCATACAGCAGCTCAAAAACAAAGTTGACATTTAGCAAAAGTTTTAAGAATGAATAAATTAATTTGGCTAAACATAACTTGACAGTCCTGAAAGTCAGAGACTAAGACAAAAATGCCTAGATAGAAAAAGTAATTTAAAAAACCCCAGAGAACAGAAAGAAGGTGTAATAATACCAGAAGGAGGAATTGGAGGAATTGGTCCCAGGATAACGGCCCCCAATTATGGGCCTGCCTGGAAAAGCTCAGGCTTCAACTCAGACTCTTTATCCAGCAGGGAGATGGGGCAGACTTCATTTTTAGGATGGGTTGTTTTATGTACATAATCAGGCCAACTGCAGGGAGAGCAGCAGGGAGTTATAAACAGGACAGCCACCAAGTGGAAGCTGCCACCTTTGATGCCAACCCAACTCATACATTCTAATTTCATCACCTCCCTCTGTCACCACTCTTATGCATGTCATTTTACAGAGAGGGCTATTTCATTGATTTGAGGATATTTTACTATCTTAAATACCCATATTCTGAGGATAGCACCTTAAGTGTTTTCTTTCTTACTGAGACAAAATTTATGTACAGTGAAATATGTAGCCCATAATTATTCAGTGCAATGAGTTTTGACAAATACGTATACCAATGAGACTACCACCTCAGCCAAGGTACAGAATATTCCCATCACCCCAGAAAAGTCCCCTGGGGCCAATGATGTGCTAGAACCAATTTCTACCAAGGCAATTCTGCTCATCTCTTCCCAAATTTGAATTCACTGATGTCATATTGGTGCTTAAAAACTGTCATGCTAGGAAATCAGCAAACACTACAATAAATCAAGGACATTTTTTTTTCTCAGCGAGCCAGTTGACCAGCACACACCTGCTTATACCTCTTTTTAGCCAGTCCCCCACCCCTACAGAGGGAAATCAGCATAGATTTAGTTTTACCTGTCCTTTAACTTCATAAAAATGGAATTGCATATTGCATTGGGCCTACTGCATATTGCATTTGGGCCTATTAATATTTTTTAAAACTTCTATGTACTAATAATATTAATATTTTTTAAAACTTCTACGTACCTTTTTGTACTAACATTTTCATGATTATATGTTTTCTTTTCACTTGGATAAATACCTAAGAGTGATATTGATGGGTCATAGAGTAAGTTTATGTTTAACTTTATAAGAAAGCACCAGAAAATTTTCCAAAAAGGTAGGACACAAGCAACATATGAACATTCCATTCTTTACAGCATTTGGTGTTGTCACTGGGTCTTTTGAATTTTAACCTTGCAAATATTGATGATGTAGTACACATTGTAGGATTTTGATTTGCATTTCCCTGAAGACTACTTATATTAACCATCTTTTCAAGGGCTTTTTAGTTATTCCTATATCTTCTTTCCAGTTGTGTCATAGAATTTTGTGTGGAGCATTTGATAGAATTCACCAGCACAATAATCCAGCTCTTAGTTGCCTTTTTTGGAAAGGAGTTTGACAATGAATTAAATTTTTGTATAGACCTGGGGCATTCAGATTTTTCTAATTCATTTTATGTTTTGGTAAATTGTATTTTTTCAGTGAATTCATTCATTTTTTTCTAGATTTTTTAATATATTGGCCTAATATTTTTCATAATATTCCCTTATTATCCTTTTAATGTCTATAGGATTTTTAGCGATCTCTTTTCTTGCATTCCTGATATTAGTAACTTGTTATTTCTCTCTCTCCATCAGTTTTGCTAAAGATAAATCAGTTTAATTGATCTTTTTAAAGAAATTTCGTTTCCTCTATTTAACCGAGGTTGACTTTTTCCAGCTTCTTAAAGATACAAAGTTAAATCATTGATTTTAAACCTCTCTTCTTTTCTAATGTAAGCATTTAATGTTAAAAACTTTCTGCTAAGCATTGCATTAGCATTTAATAAATTTTTGTATATTACATTTTCAATATTGATCAACTCAAAGTATTTTAATTATCCTTATTTTATTTCTCTTTTATTCCTGGATTATTCAGAAATATGTTGCTTAATTTCCATGATACTTGGGAATTTATAGACGTAATATGATTTCTAATTTAATTATACTGCACCCAGAGAATATATACTATAAAATTTAAATCCTTTAAAATTAATTGATACTTACTGTCCAGTATTTGGTCTACCTTGATTAATGTTTCATTTGCACCAGAAAATAATGTGTACTATTGTTCTTTGGTGGCATGCTTATATGCTTCAATTAAGGTCATGTTGGTTGACAGTATGGTTTATATCTCCTATATCCATGCTGATTTTATACATCGATCAATCAATTAATGAGAGAGAACTGTTAAAAATCTTGAATTTGAATAATAAATTTCTCTGTTTCTCCCTTTAATTCTGTCACTTTTGGTTCTTGTATTTTAAAGCTCCGTTATTGGGTGCACATACATTTAGGATTGTTTTACCTTTCTGGAGAACTGACTCTTTTATCATTTTTAAATTGATAAATTGCCTCTTTATCTTTGGCAACTCTCCCATGTTAAAGTGTATGTTCTCTCATATTAATATAGCCATACTATTGCTATGTGTTTATTCTTTACATGATAAATATTTCCTCCATCATTTTACTTTCAACCTATCTTTGTCTTTATATTTAAAGTGTATCTCTTTAGAGAATAGAGGGATGGTTATCAGAGCCTGGGAAGGGTAGTGAGTAGGGACGGGAGAGTAGGGGCATGCTTAGGATACAAGAAAAAATACTTGGAAAGAATGAATAAGACCTAGTATTTGATAGCGCAACAGGTAGACTACAGTCAATAATAATTTAATTGTACAATTAAAAATAACTAAAAGACTCTAACTGGATTTTGTAATGCAAAGGAAAAATGCTTGAGGGGATGGACCCCCAGTTTTCCATACTGTGATCATTACATATTACACGCCTGTACCAAAATATCTCATGTAGCCCATAAATATATATGCCTGCTACATACACACAAAAATAAAAACTTAAAATTAAAAATTAAAAAAGTAATAAAGTGTGTCTTTTTCTTTTCTAACCAGTCTGGCAAGTTTTCCTTTTAATTGAAGTAAATTATAATCTAATTAAACATCTTTCAATTATTTATCCTTATAAATTTAATTTAACATTTAATATAATTATTGATATACTGGGATTTAATGTTACCATCCTGGCATTTATTTACTATTTCTCCTGTCATCTTTTTGTTCCTCCATTCTTCCTTTCATTCCTTCTTTTGAGTTCATTAAATAATTTTTAATATTCCTTTTCTGTCCTCTGTTGGCTTTTTAGCTATCCTTCTTTGTATTTTTTAAATGGTTCCCATAAAGATTAAAATATGACACTTTAACTTATCACAGAGTGACAGAGTTGACATTGTACCACCACCCATAAAATATTAAAGTCTTACAATTGCAAAATTACATGTATTTTGTTCCTATTATTTTTACCACCTTTGACATATATTTCACAAGAAAAACTTCTTTTCATATTTCTTGTATCACTGATGAATTCTTTTAACTTTCATTTAGCTCATACGTGTCCTTTCCTCTCAAGAATCACAGCCCCGTATCACATGTTGTCCAAATACCTAAAGACAGTTTCCTCATATATTTTGGCCAGTGTTATGGTTGTTTTCAGTAGGAAGGTGTATTAATTTGCTAGGCCTGCCATAACAAGGTACCACAAACTGAGTTGCTTAAACAACAGAAGTTTCTTGTTTCACAGTTCTGGAGGCTGAAAGTCCAAACTGAAGGTGTCAGCAGGGTTGTTTGTTTTTAAGGGTTGCGAGGTAGACTCTGTTCCTTGCCTCTTTCTTGCCTTCCAGTAGCTCAGGCACTCCTTGGCTTGTAGATGAAAATCTCACCATGGCTTCACATCGTCTCCTCTCTTTGCATGTCTCTATGTACACATTTCCCCTTTTTGTAAGAAAATAAAATCACATTAGATTAGGACCTGCCCTAATCACCTTATCTTAACTTGATCATCTGTAAGGACTCCATTTCCAATAAGGTCACAGTCACAGGGCCTGGGGGTGAGGACTTCAGCGTCTTTTTAAGGCACACAATTCAACCCATAACAGAGGGTAGTTCTAGTGGAATTTACTCCATTATAGCTAGAAGCAGATGACATTCGGGTTTGTTTCGTCAGTGTCACTTTTTTGTAAATCTGCTCATCACATTCATTGGGGGAGTTGGGTGGACCGAGGAAAGACGGAAGATGGAGAGGGGTGCTAGAAATGTTAGGACTAATGAAAGCACTTTTTAGTGAAGAAAATTGAGATTCTCCAGAATAAAATGTTTCCACTCTCCTAATTTTCTCTTTGGCCTGTGCTATGGTTCATACCTATTGCAGTTGTCTTAAGAGGGAAATAGGAGCTTTTATGTTCACTCATTCATTAAAAAACAAAACAAAACATATATTGAGCACTTGCCTGTGCCAGATGTGTGCCTAGTAGCTAAAGATACATCAGTGCAGGAGATGAATATGGTCCCTACCTAAATGGAGTCTTCCTTCTAGTGGAAACTTGGAGTCCATCCAGTTGCTTAATTTTTCTTTGAATTGTGGCTTTAAAAAACTAATCAGTATAGAGATTTTAATCCATCTTTGGCAAAAAAAAAAAAAAATACAGTGCAGGAAAAAATTGAAAAGGAGTAATTTTTTGATTCCTTCTTTTGTTTAGCACATATTCATGAACACACACTGCATCTAGAGATTAAACTTTCCCCCTGTAGCTCTCTGAATGTGTGGAATAATGTAAAGGAAAGTCTTCCATTACGGAGTATGGCAGACTCTATTGTTTATCTTGATAATATGCATTATTTCCTTTCTAACCCCCAAATGCCTAGATAAGTGAGTGATTTTTGGTATCCAGCTCCACTGCAAGATCATGTGCTTTAAGAGGAGCCTCTTGATTGGTCTAAGTTGGTCTTGATGGTTTCATGTAATAGAAATGTGATCAAACTCTGGCCTATGAGTCAGGAAGGAAGAATGTTAGAGACTGCTGGAAAACAAGGTTTTCTTGCTTCTTTTTTGTTTGTTTGTTTGTTTGTTTTGTTTTGTTTTGTTTTTTTGAGATGAAGTCTCACTCCGTAGCCCAGGCTAGAGTGCAATGGCATGATCTCGGCTCACTGCAACCTCTGCCTCCTGGGTTCAAGTGATTCTCCTGCCTCAGCCTCCCGAGTAGCTGGGATTACAGGCTCCCACCATGTTGTCCAGCTAATTTTTGTATTTTTAATAGAGACAGGGTTTTGCCATGTTGGCCAGGCTGGTCTTGAACTCCTGACCTCAGGTGATCCGCTCACCTTGGCCTCCCAAAGTGCTAGGATGACAGGCGTGAGCCACTGTGCCTGGCAAGTTTTCTTGCTTTTGAAAAAGATATGTAGAAAGAGAAAGCCTTTTCTTTTTCTGGAACTTGTGACATCTGCATGTGATGTCTGGAACTTCAGCAACCATCTTGTGACTGTGAGAGGGATGAGCCTAAGGATAATGCTGATAGATTGAGAATAGTAAAGCAGAAAGAGGGAAAAAAAACACTTGGATCCTTGATGATATCTCTGAGTCACTGAAGGAACCCATTTTGAAACCATGTTAACTTTGAGCTTCCTGTTCAATAAGAAGGGAACTTGATAAATTGTTCTTCTTATTTAAACAATTTAGAAGTAGAGTTATACTTTATATATAATTGTGCCAAAGAACGAAAAAACAAGAAGCCCTAAGAATGTTATTTTTTGACTCATTTCCCTCCCTCTCAATAGAGGAGGAAATTTCTGCTATCAGAATATCTTCATCCTCTGCTTGTTAAATCCTGTGCTATATATTTTGGGAGGGGAAAACCAGACACGCACATCTTTAAAAGATCTAAGGCCTGTAATAAATGTCTAAATTTCTCTTCAGCATATTTTTGTGTTTGCAGATTCAGAGACAAAAGACTTTAATCTCGGCTGCTAAATCCCCCTTTTAAAATTAAATTTAAAGTAACATTTGAGGCTGTGTATATTGGCTGCAGATTCCTCCCCATATTCTTCCGGGGAGTTACCCACCAATGACATGAGAGTCCCTCTCTATAATAAAGTAGCTTTAAAAAAAATAGCTGCTTATTAAGGCAGAGATTCTAATATTAGCCTACTATTTCACTGAATAAAGGAATTGGGTGTCTTTTGTACAAACTTGAGGGTCTGGATGTATTTCTGCACTTTTCTTCAATGCTTTACAGAATCTTAAAATAGCATTCCCCCTCCTTTCCCTCCATCTCCATGCAACCACAACAGAATGTGAGGTACTGGTTTGGGGCTTTGGAACCGGTATATGTTATGTTCAATTTTATTTTCCATGCTTAAATGAAGCTAGTTCCTTCCTCTTTCATTTGGGATGTAAGAGGGGAAATGAATATTATTTTTAAATATGACTCGGTGTTCTGCCCGTCTGTCTGTGGCCATCGGGAAAGTGGGATGTTGGGGGTAAAAAAATATGGAAAAGGAGTGTCCAGGGAAAGTATTTCAGAGATCATGGATTTGTCTATTTTGTCTATAGCCTGCTAGGAGTTACAAAAGAAAGGAAGAGGCTTTTTCTGTCTGTAACATTATACAGCCTTGGTCTACACCAAACACCAGGGGCAGGGGGAAATGGATGGGTGGAGTGGGTTGACAACTTGTAGGAAAAGTTCTGATTTTGTGGTAGTCTGAGAATGCCAATGAATGTTTATATATTTAATTTTGAGAGTGGAATTTCACTAACTCTCCTGGGAATTGAAAATAGGACTTTATTTAATCTTCTCCCTTTGCAGTGGGAAAGAAAAGAAAAGGAAAGAGCTGAAGGAACTATAAAGAAGCGAAGGAAGAAGGAAATGCAGAGAATATTTCATTCACCCTTTCATGCTGTGGAGAAGGAAAGTGAGACCCAGAGCCAGGAAGTGAGTCCTCCAGGGTCACACAGTGGCTGACAGCAGAAAAGGCATTGTGGTGAGTGGTGAGAGCAGGAGCCTGACTCCGGGTTCCAGCCTGTCACTGCCTGGCTGTGTGACTGTGGGTTAGTCTCATAACCTTGCCGAGTCCTACATTCCTCAGCTGTACAATGGAGATAGCCACAGTGCCTTTTTCATGGGCTTGCTATGAAGATTAGATGGGTTAATACCTTTAATGAGCTGAGCACCTGGCAAATGATACATGCTCAATAGATTCAGCTTGAAGGAAGCCTCAACTCAGAAGGAAGCCGTGGAAAGCATGATGCCGACCCTGCCCTACTCTTCCTCCCCTCTATTCTCATCCTTCCACGTGCCCCATTCATAGGTGGCTGAGACAGCAGAGACTCCTCTAAGGAGGAAGAATGAACTTGAGTTTTCAGCCTGGGAACCTCAGACACGACAGAAATAGTAACGAATCACTTTGTCTATTAAGCACCTGGGGAGCACCCTGACATATTCCCCATCTTGTATTTTGCTAGATTTGAGTTTCCCCGGGGGACATTCTGTTCTCTGTTTCTTTTTCTCTCATCTTAGTTCCTTTCTTTACAAGAAGAATCTAACTTGCCAGACACGGCTTAAGTGACATGTGACTGGAGAAGGCCCATGCTCAGGGGTATAGATTTTAAGATGCAGCTGCCTGTTAATGGACTTGATGAAAAGACTGGGTAAGATATCATTCATTTTTTGTAGAGGAGACAAAGATCAGATTGTGGGGAGGTGATGAGAGATTCCTCCATAAGCAGAGCTGGAGACTCCTGTGTATCAGGTATCTTGTGCCTGGCAGTCTCCACAAATCCACCAGTATTTGCTTCTCTCCCTCCATTGCAGCCTCTAAAAGGTTAGATAATAACAAAGGCAAGAGTCATGTCGCAGAAGGGGATCAAGGCAAGAAAGCACAGCTGTTACCTGACTCTCCTATTAAGCCAGACCTCAAGTTTAGCTTGAGGCACAAGCAAAGGGAGGTGGAGGAATTATCAGGGAGCAAGGCCTGGAGGAAATGAAATACTGTGAAGAGCTGATGTTGGGCAGCCACTGCGCCACACGCCACACGCCAATTCATTGGCTCTCCACGCTTCTCTGTGAGCCATCATCCTCTTGTTCATTTTGCAGATGGGCAAGAGGCCATGGCGTGTCCAGCATGCTCTGGCAGCTCACCCTGTTGGTCTCTGAAGCTCCCCACCCTCTCTGCCTTCGGAGGAAATCCAGACATTATGCACAAATTTGCACAGCTCAGGGGTCTGCCTGCCTCCGGGGCCTTGCCTCTCACAGCCCACTTTTCACTGCAAGCTTCAATGGAACGGAAGAGGAGCTATCCTTGGGTTGCTGGGCAGAGAAGAAGAAACAGGTTTAGGCAGATGAAGTGCTCAAGATAGTCCAGGAAGGGCCACAGGGCTTGAGAGGGAGACAGGCCTGGAACCAAAGACAAACAACCCCTTCATCATTGTGCCTGGGCCAGTACTGACTCAGCTGCTTCTGTGTGCGGTGGAGGAAATTGCGGCTTTGGGTAGCTGGGAAGTTCTTCCAGATCCCATGTTGAAAGAAAAGTTCAGTCCCCAGCCTCAAACCACCAAGGAAGTCTGTTCTGCAGCAGTCCAGGAGCTGGTGTGAAGGGGTTGAGGCCCTGCTATGCCTTGCATTCGGGGATTCTCAGCCGGAAAGAAACATTTCCTGTTATCTGTGGGTTTTAGTTCTTCCCGCTTTGGAAGTAAAGGAGAAAAAAAATATTACCAATGATCTGTGGGTTTGGAAGTATACATGGTCTTGTGGGGCCAGAGTAAGTGGAATAAAATTAAGTTGTAGTGATGCTAATGGTTCCACCTTGTTTGAGCAAAATGACCAGAAAGGAGAGGAGAGATCAGCTGAGCCCAGAGGATGGAAGCCAAGATGGGTGATTAGAGAACTAATTTGTTTAACAAATAGTTATGGTGTCTCTCTGGGCAGGTTACTATGGCAAGACACATAGAACTTTCTTTTCCTTTGTATTCTTTTCTTCTCCTTATTTTTCTTGTCCTTTCTTTTCCTTTACTGATTTTCCTATTAATAAAAGTAGAACATTATATAACTGATGTCAGGCCTCTGAGCCCAAGCTAAGCCATCATATCCCCCACGAGCTGCATGTACACATCCAGATGGCCTGAAGTAACTGAAGAATCACAAAAGACGTGAAAATGGCCTGTTCCTGCCTTAACTGATGACATTCCACCACAAAAGAAGTGCAAATGGCCAGTCCTTGCCTTCACTGATGAGATTACCTTGTGAAATTCCTTCTTCTGGCTCATCCTGGCTCAAAAGATCCCCCACTGAGCACCTTGTGACCCCCGTCCCTGCCCCTCAGAGAGCAACACCCTTTGACTGTAATTTTCCACTACCCACCCAAATCTTATCAAAGGGCCCCACCCCTATCTCCCATCGCTGACTCTCTTTTCGGACTCAGCCCGCCTGCACCCAGGTGATTAAAAAGCTTTATTGCTCACACAAAGCCTGTTTGGTGGTCCCTTCACCTGGACGCACATGAAACCTGAGACAAGAAGTCAAATTATATGCAGATATATAAAAAAAAATGATACCCCCACCCCCACCATTCTATCCTTCTGAGGAAACTGAAGTTAACAGAAGGACAGGCACCTTTCAATATCTTTCTGTTATCTAAAATGTTAAGACTAATCCCTATTTTTTTAGGAGTCAACTCATCTTAGAGGCAAGAACATGCATGTAAAGAAATAATTACAGCATAAAGGTTTTATACTTATAAGGGTTTTATAAGTGACTGAGATGGTAGGGCCTCTGTGGAGTGAGGCTGTGAAAATGCTGGAGATCTGGGGAGAACTGAGAAAGACTGAATAAGATATAAAAGTTTTGAGAAGAGGTGCAAGTCAGGTTACCAAGATGCTGTTATTTAAATTCCTTCTTTCTCACAGAAGCTCGGAACAGAAAGGTCCTTAGAGACCAGTGGTCCAGACCTTTAGAGATGCGTTCACCCTAATGGCTCTCCAGCCTCCCTGGGGTTGCCTCCAGGGCCAGAGACTGCTCAGATCTCGCTCCTGAACAGCCACTGCTCCCCCTGCTCCCTATCAACAGGCACACCAGACTCTTTCAAACACTCTTTATATTTTATGCTTATATGTTATAAAATTTTTATGCATTTGTTCTCTTCCTCTTCTGTATGGTTTAAGCAACCTGAGGGCAGGGGATGTGTTTTGCTTATTTTTGCTGACTGAGTGATGGAATGAATTACTTAATTATTCAAGAAAAGAAAAACCAACATATCCTAGGCCCTCTTATTTGAATACATGGAGTCGGCCATGGGAAAGGATTAAAACCTGAACTTCTTCCTGGACTTCACAGTTTCCTCTGGATATGCTGATTCCTACATTTTTCCTGAGATCCTTCCAATTGAGGAAGAGATTCTCCATGCTCCCCTTTGGTTATATCTAAGGATCTATGCAGTGTAAGCCAAAAATAAAATTCTAAGCACTGCAACTGACTGAATGGACCCCCTGTTGGCTCAGGGGATAGGAAACAAACCTGAAAAACTAGTTCAGGCCATGATAGGAAGAGGGGCTTGGATGTGCCTAGTTATACTCTTCTCCCTCAGGCACAACTAACCAGCGTTAACATTAAAATAGAACTCATAAGACTGACAAAACAGACTCTTTGTTACAATAACATGCCAAATTCCAACCTAACGGTGGTATAGCATCACATGACAGATAGCAGGACATGAAGTATGTATATTACCCCAAAATATATTTATCTGGCATATTTTGAAGAGGCCCTGCAAAGCTGTCTTTTGTGGAGGAAATTTGCATTCTGAAGAGAATCCCCTTCCTTTACTAGGTTATTTCTGGAGAGTCTGACAACTTTTAAGTACTGATAAGAGACATTTACCATCTATTCTCTCTGAAGCCTGCTACCTGGAGGCTTCATGTGTGTAATAAGAACCCTGGTGGGCTGGGCGTGGTGGCTCACACTTGTAATCCCAGCACTTTGGGAGGCCCAGGCAGGTGGATCACGAGGTCAGGAGTTCAATACCAACTTGGCCAAGATGGTGAAACCCCATCTCTACTAAAAATACAAAAAAATTAGCTGGGCGTTGTGGTGGGTGCCTACAATCCCAGTTATTCAGGAGGCTGAGGCAGATAATTGCTTGAACCCAAGAGGCAGAGGTTGCAGTGAGTCGAGATCACGCCACTGTACTCCAGCCTGGGCGACAGAGTGAGACTCCGTCTCAAAAACAAACAAACAAACAACAACAAAAAAAACCTTGGTGGCCAGGTGCAGTGACTCACTCTTGTAATCCTAGCACTTTGGGAGGTGGATCACTGGAGGTCAGGGGTTCAAGACCAGCTTGGCCAACATGGTGAAACCCTATCTCTACTAAAAATACAAAAATTAGCCACGCATGGTGGCACATGCCTGTAATTCCACCTACTTGGGAGGGCTGAGACAGGAGAATCACTTGAATCCGGGAAGCAGAGGTTGCAATGAACTGAGATCACACCACTGCACTCCAGCCTGAGCAACAGAGCGAGACTGTCTCAAAAAAAAAAAAGAAAAAAGAAAAAAGAAAAAAAAGAACCTTGGCTTGCACAATCTTTATCTTATCTTAACTAATGCATTACTTTTTTTTAATTTTAATTTTCCATTTAAGTTCTGGGGTACATGTGTAGATGTGTAGGTTTGTCATATAGGTAAACATGTGCCATGGTGGTTTGCTGTACCTATCAAACCACCACCTAGGTATTAAGCCCAGCATGCATTAGCTATTTTTCCTAATACTCTCCCTCTCCCAACTCCACCCGACAGGCCCCAGTGTGTGTTGTTCCCCTCCCTGTGTTCATGTGTTCTCATTGTTCAGCTTCCACTTGTAAGTGAGAACATTCAGTGTTTGGTTTTCTTTTCCTGCATTAGTTTGCCAAGGATAATGGCTTTGTTCTTTTTGTGGCTGCATAGTATTCCATGGTGTATAAGTACCACATTGTCTTTATCCAATCTATCATTGATGGGCATTTGGATTGATTCCATGTCTTTGCAATTGCCAATAGTGCTGCAATGAACATATATGTGCATGTATCTTTATAGTAGACGCATTTATATTCCTTTGGAAATATATCCAATAATGGGATTGCTGGGTCAGATGGTTCTGGTTCTAGATCTTTGAAGAATTGCCACATTATCTTCCACAGTTGTTGAACTAATTTACATTCCCACCAACAGTGTAAAAGCATTCTTACTTCTCTGGAACCTTGCCAGTACCTGTAGTTTCTTGCCATTTTAATAATCACCATTCTGACTGGCATGAGATGGTATCTCATTTCTTTAGTCTAACTTCAAACTCTTCAGGCAAAGTTTAACTCTTTCAACCAATTGCCAATTAGAAAATCTTTTACTTCTCTATGACCTGGGGGGCCTGCCAATTCCCCATCGTTGACATATCTCACCTTTCTGAGCCAAACAAATGTATAGTTTCCACGTATTGATTTCTGTTTTTACCTGTAGCTTCTGTCTCCCTAAAATGTATAAAACCAAACTGTAACCCAACCACCTTGGGCATATGTTCTCAGGACCTCCTGAGACTGTGTCATGGGCCATGGTCCTTAATCTTGGCAAAATAAACTTCTAAATTGATTGAGACCTGTCTCAGATACTTTTTGGTTTACAGTAGAAATGTGTATATCATTACATACATTCCACTCAGGTGAAATATAATTGGTATAAAAAGTAAAGATTTAGCTGAATTTCTATAACAAGGCCACTTTCTGCTGAAACAATAGAAGGAAAAACTCAACTTTAGTCCTTCTTGTGGGTTCTTACCCCTCACTCCTGTGTTGATGTGATAGGGTGGGGGAGGCAGAGGAGGCATCTGATCCATACTAACAAACGAAACAAAACATAAGGCTTTACTGATGTCCACAGCAAAGTTATCTTTAATGCTTTAAAGCTGGATCACACTAGGCCTAAGTTCACAGTTTGGACAAAACGGTTGAAGTGTGAGGATGTCATACACAATCAGTTGTTTTTTTCAGATACATCAGGGATTTAAAAATACACATCATTTACATTTTCATCTTGAGAAATTTTCTTCATGGCACACTCTAGAAAACTGAGAGATGAATGGAAAAGGAAAACTTAAAATTAGGAAAAAATGTATATTAGTACTGGTGGTTGTTATGAAGTCTGAATTATCTCCAGGTAACAAATACGGTTACAAAACAAGCAAATGTTACTTTTTATGTAGAAAATAAACTTTATACAGCTACTAATTTAGTATAAAGGAATTGTCACTGAAAAATCCCAGATTATATGAATCAAAATTGAAAGGGAAACAGAGGGTAGCAAGTAAAGATATTCTAAATTATATATTGCATTGGAAAAGTGGATATTGACTTTGATAATCACAGAAAAATAATTAAAGTAACATCTTCGGGAAACATAAAGGTTACCACCAACAAACCAAAAACAAATGTTTTGCCTTTCAAATCATTAGTGCAGAGAAAATAAAACACAACCTAATCCATATATCAAAAGAGAAACTAAAAATGCAGTATAAGAAATGACAAACAGAAAACCTAAAAAATGGGATATATGTATAGAATTATATATGTATACTAATCGTTATATATAAAATTCTGGCCAACCTTAATTGCATGGCTACTATGGGTCAAGCTACTGCTAGATGCTTTGCTCCCATTACTTTTTTTACTTACTCTTTATGGCAACCATAGTAATAGTATATTATTGTTTCAAATATACAAATGAATCAACAGTGAATAAAGCAGTTTCCTGAGGTCACATAGATGTAAAAGGAAGGTTCAGGATCTAAACCCTGACCTCTCTGACTCACAAACTTATTCTTGGTTATTGCATTGTCCCACCTGCACACAACAGAGTGAGAGGCAACACACCAAATCTATCCATTGTGTACTCCCCAATTTAAAGTCAAAGACCTAAATTGTATCATAGTACAAAATATAACATGTTGCTTATAAAATAAATGCCTTAAAGATGGCATGAGAAATACATACACACCATCTGTGTGTGTGTGTGTATGTGTCTGTGTGTATGTGTGTGTCTGTGTATTGGGTAAATAGAACAGAACCAAGAGTGTCAATATAAATTTCAAACAAGATGTAGGATTAAATGACATTAACACAATTGGAAAAATTTCATATTGATCAATGACATAATCCATGAAGAAATTACCTTTATACACTGAAAATTTCACGACAAACTATAAAAGTCAAATTCGGGAGTTCGAGACCAGTCTGACCAACATGGAGAAACCCCGTTTCTACTGAAAATACAAAATTAGCCGGGTGTGGTGGTGCGTGCCTGTAATCCTGCTACTCAGGAGGCTGAGGCAGGAGAATTGCTTGAACCTGGGAGGCAGAGGTTGCAGTGAGCCAAGATCGTGCCATTGCACTCCAGCCTGGGCAACAAGAGCGAAACTCTGTCTCAAAAAAAAAAAAAAAAAAAGATCAAAATCGCTAAAATGACTAGAAATACAATATGAGAAAAAATATAAGAAAAAGTGAACACAAAGGTATTATGAGACACTCTAACATAAATATCAGTTTTTGATAGATTATATAGATCATGAGTTCTCATCACTTAGCTCTCATTTGTAAGTGAGAACATGCAGTATTTGGTTTTCTGTTCCTGTGTTAGTTTGCTAAGGATAATAGCCTCCAGCTTCATCCATGTTCCCGCAAAAGACATGTTCTTGAGGAAGGAGGGTGGGAGGAGGGAGAGGAGCAGAAAAAATAATGAATGGGTACCAGGTTTAGTACCTGGGTGACAAAGTAATCTGTACAACAAGCCCCATGACACGAGTTTGCCTATATAACAAACTTGTACCTGTATCCCTGAACCTAAAAGTTAAAGTAAAATGTAAGTGAAAAAACAATAATATAGATCAAAAATAAAGTCAGGGAAACTGTAAACAACAATATTAGTTATATTAAAACATATGCATAAATATATAAAATGTATATGCACATATATTTATGTATCTAATATAATTCCACTTCCTTCGTGGAAGGAGTCTGGGGCTATCTGAAAAACAGGCTCCATAGCTTCTTTCCACTTGCCCATAGAATGCTCTCAAATACTATTAATATACTGCATTAGAAAGAACATCTTAATAAATTTATAAAAGCTAATATTTAGACAACATTTTTGCACTAACATATAGGTGACCTATCAATTAAAAATGACATCAAAATTAAAAATGTATAAAACAACAACTAGCAATTTAAAAACTCATGCAAAACATGAATGTAAGAGGAAATCAAAATTGCAATGAACATTTATTAGAAAATATTGCATTCCTACACTACTACAAAACATGAAATTACTAAATGTATGCAATGTAGCCAAGCCTTACCTAAAAGCAAATTCATAATCTTAAATGTTTTCCTTATTGATAAAAGAGAATAAAAATAATGGAACCAAGCATTCACCTTAATTATTTGGAAAAAGAAACAGAAAAAAAACAGGAGGAAATATATAATAGCAAATACAGAAATCCAAGAACAAGGAAACCAAAATACGAGTCCAATAAAGTCAATGATTAAACCTAGGATTTAATCTTTCGATTAAAACAAATCTAACACATATAATTTGAAAAAAATCTTTTAAAATGTTGGTGCCCAACTATCCTAATTATTATTCTCGTACTCTCAACTCATGTAAGTTCTCAGTGTCTCTCCTTCAGTATAGTTCAAGGAACTCTGGTCTTACCACTTTGATCCAATTCACCAGAGCATTTCAAGCTGGCCCCATGGTTTGACTACCAGAAGGCCTCCAAGGGAAATAGGCCGCCAAGGAAATGAGCTTCAGTAAAAGCTTTTAACGAAAAGCTTTTACCATGAGCTCCATCTTCATGGTAGGGCTGGTCTCAGACAAGAGATATGCACCATCAGGTCTTTCCCCAAGACCAACGTCTGGGTGAATGCAGCCCAATAACAGGGGAGAGGGCTTTCCCTTGGTACGGAAGAGTATACTCTGTATGTTACTGTCCTGATTTGCTCTATACAAAATGGGTGCTCAATTTTTGAAGATCGAGTCTTAGCAGAAAGTTGCTTATTTTTGCCTACATCATACTGTCTCAACAGATTTGGCTTCTTCTATCCTTGTGTCATCACTGAAGCACAGAAGCATGGGTGTGAAGCAGGAAACTTAAAGACAACAGTAGAAACCAGAAAGCAGAAAAAAGGAACAAGAAAGAAGGCTCCCTGCAAACCCCAACCCTTTGAATATGTCCAAATTCATCAAATTGTACAGTAGCAGGTACAGTTTTTTTGTTTACCAACCCTACCTTAATAAAGCTGTTTAGAAAAAAAAAAAAAAAGACTATGGAATATATCCAAAATACTGGGATATTTCAGAAATGAAAGCTGATTAAACATAATGATTGGTCTATTAAAACAAAAAGACCATCCCTTCTGTCCCAAGTAATCAAATAACTCAGAATAGTGAATATACTGTTAGCCCTCTCTGTTGCTCATGCATTGTGCTGAAGACTTCAACTCACTGTTTCTTTAAGCAATAGTATGAAAAAAAATCACACTATTTTTTTAAAAGCTCTATTTTGATTCCTTTTTAAATTATTTACTTTTTTAAAATTTTACTTTTTGAGCCAGTCTTCCTCTATTGCCCATGCCGGAGTGCAGTGGTGCAATCATAGCTCACTGCAGCTTGAGCTTCTGGGCTTAGGCCATCCTCCCACTTCAGCTTCCCGAGATGCTGGGACTACAGGCCTATGCCACTATGCCCAGCTAATTTTAAAAAAAATTTTTTTTTTGTAGAGACGAGGTCTTATTTTGTTGTCCAGGCTGGTCTCAAACTCCCGCGCTCAAGCCATCCTCCCACCTCAGCCTCCCAAAGTGCTGGGATTATAAGTGTGAGCCTCTGCACTTGGCCCTTTTCTACTTTTGAAGAAACAGAGGCTTAGAGAGGTTATAAGAACCTTTCTAAATTCATCCAATCAATGACCAAAGGAGAATGGAAACCCAGGCAGCTAGTGTCCAGCATTCAGCATCTCGCTCTCTCTTACCCCTGGTCTGTATCATGTTTCCAAAGAAAGCAACTTCTACCCTTACAGGATCACTCTTGAGAACTCTGACCTTCCTTCCACTCCAGTTAACTTCTCTGCATGGGAGGGGGAGATGTTTTTGACTGATGAGACAGAGAAGAATCATCATCCACTGATCCATGTTCCTGCTTGACTGCAGTGAACAAAGTTAAAAGTCGGAATACATGGGGCCTCACTCTCCACACTGCCCCCAACTCCAAGAGCCTCTCCATCCCTGGACAAGGAGAAGGTACAGTTTCCCTCGTGTCTAAGTAAGCATCAGCTCTGCAAATGCAACTCAGCCTTGGGTTCCAACGTTTCAACTTAAGAGGAAATATAAGGTTGCCACCTACTTTGGCTTCAGATTTTAATGTGCTCTCCAGGTCAATTTCCCAAGTAATTAAGCTGATGATCTCTAGTGAATTCTTGGGTCTAGGTATCAATTAGTTCAAAGCTTTGAAAAGCAAGGATGTGAGTATTAGCCTGAAACTCATCCGTTCATACACCACAGTGGGCTTCCGCCCACGCTCCTGGCTCTAAGAAACTAAATCTTGAGCCTCTTACATGACACTTTAACATGCTGTGAACATATGCCTAGATAAATGTCGGGGAACCCACTAAATAAAGCACTGCTCTATCAATGCACAGGACAGCTACATTCCAAAGACTTCCTCTCTGAAGATTTCTGTAAGATCAAGCAGAGGATAACTCAAGTAAAGGGGAAATGCTTTCCTTAACTTATTCCTATGTACATAAGGTTCCATGTCAGCTCATTAGGGCAGAGCCACATAACTCTCTCCTCCCTTTGGGGCAGATGAGCTCCAAACATCTGTCCAGCCAGGCAGAGTTCCTGGAATTATGGGCAAAATATCCAGGTCGCATATGAGACAAATTCCCTAGCAGAGGAATAAGGCAAACTTTGTCTTAGGATGCTTTCTCATAAACACAGGAAGTATCATAAAATAATAATTTCAACCCATTTTTACTCAAAGAGATGAGTGAACTGATGAATTAAATAATTAAATTAGGTTTTGACATTTTCTTAACAAGAAACAGATCGCTGCAATTAGAAGAGTTTGCAGAGTAATTATTTCACATTGCTAGTTCAGACTGCTTTCACAGAGAGATGGGCGTTTCCCTTAACATGTGGCCAAGACATAGGACAAAATGGGTGTATTTTGGATAGAAACACGGAAACATGAAGAGGTATATGCTTTGTATACAGTGGCTAAATTGTCTGGTCAGCTGTTTCTAACAGCAGGGGTGCAAATAGGTCTTGATAACTTCATGTTCTGTTTCAGATTTATGATCCATTAAAAATATTTACAGTTTTAAAGCCCCAGGGCCATGATTGTGCCATAGGCTGTTATTCCGAGGCAGCACATTGGAACTCGTTTACTGTGTGTGATTTTTATTTTCTAAAGATTTCTCTTCTTTCTTCTGTTGTCTCCCTCCTTCCCTCTCTTTCATTTTCTCTTTTCTTTTTTGAACGAGGAATTTTGCTCTTTGTCAGAAGGTGATAAAGAAGGCAACAATGACCTTGAATTCCTGTTCACATCCAAATTGTATTGGGATGTAGAACTCAGCTCCATCTGGGAGTAGTTCTCTGGTAATGAGAAAATTCATACCAGGCCCTATTTTCAGCCTGAGAGTCCCCTTCCAGCCCCTTGGAAACATCACAGTGGAGAAAGGCCCCCTTAGTGGCACACTCAGCCTCTCATTTCTCCAGAGGGGTTATTTTTGCATATTTCTGGCAGCCTGGCCTCTGACCTATAGCCTGATGTAATAGGGTTCAAGTTAAGTAAAGTCAACAGTTGCCTGGCCTATTATTATGTTTACCCTTGGTCCTTCTGCAAGCAGAAAACTTGCTTCTCTAGTAATTCTCAACAGGTTAAACCTCTCTTTGGATCTGCTTCTTCTCTGATTTCTGAATTGGTGAGAATGAGCTACATTAATGGGAAAACTAGGGAAGGATTGAGATGATAAAGAGAAATTAGGAAATACACTGCAAAAAACCTGGCGGAATTAAAGAACTATGGATGAAGAGCCACGGATGTTCACAGAGGCTTCAGGTTCTGAATATGGACGAATATGATGCCGAGATGTGTCCGTTTCAGACACCACTGCACTGAGAAAGGCTAGAGAATGCTAACATCTCATCTTTGGAAAAGATCTTGGAAAGAATTTAACCTGGCGGTTTTGGAATGTTTTTAGTAACTTGATCTTTTCTTTGAGTCTAACTCAGATTTCCAGTTTATAAAACAGATACAATCAACGCTGCCCTAGATAATACCCCAAAAAGGAGGCTGAGGGCCTATATCACCTCTGCCCTCCTTCCCTCACCACACGGCCTCTGAGATGCCTCCTCGAAGCCCCTGTCTAATCAGCATGGAGCAGAGCCTGAAAACCACTGCGAGCACAGCATGTGCCCAGACAGGAGTCACCTCTGCAGGATCCCTGACTCAGCCCCACTCATGAGAATTCCCAGCAGCTTCCCAGCAGCTGGAGCTGCCCTGACTTTCACCATCAGAGTGGCTCTTCGCTACCAGAGCCTCTGAAACAAACCTACCCCTCTGTCCATGTGACAACCTTCAAATATAGGACCACAGCCAGTATGTCTCCTTGTGGTCTCCACACCCCACTGTTTGCATTCGATTATTTGCTCCTTGAAGTCAGGAGTTGTGCCTGTTTTATCTTCACAGTCTCAGTGCCTAATCCAATAGTGAGTAGTAAGCGCTTAATAAATGTTTGTCCTAGATAAAGTGGTGATAGTTACAAGATGACACCTGGATGATTAATAATAAAATAATTATAAAGACTCCAATTATTAAACTAGGCATTGGGTTCAACACTTTATATACAAAATGTATTTCAATTTTTTGGAAACACTTAATAAGCATTATTAACGCTGTTTAATAGAAGAGGAACTGAGGCTTAGTGTTAACTGCCATAGGAGGGCCACACAGCTAGCAAGCAAGAGGAGGAAGCAGGACTTGAGTCCAGGCTTATCTCAGCTTTTAACCACAATGATAGAATCTAGTGGTTGAGGCCAGTGTTGACAGATGTTCAGTAGAGACAAGGGCTGGGGAGGGAAGGATAGGAAGGAGACACTGTGTAAGCAAGTGGAGGAATCCAGAGTTGCTACTTGGGAAATTGTCCTAATAGATGCACTTCTACCATCACCACCACCCTGAGCTCCATTTCTCTTCTTTCCTCCCTTTTCTCTGTCAATTCTCATCTTGACCCAGATTTTTTTTTCTTCCAACAGTCAATGGGTGGATACTGTCTGAATTCCTGAAGGGTTTCTGCTACTAGAACATGACCACCCAGAGCTGTCTGCTCTCCAATGGCTTAGCACAGCAGCAGCAAAGGAGGCGGGAGGCAGGCTGGAGGACATGACATCGCAGATGTATGATACATGTATAGGACAGCCTCTGGCACATGGCAGGTCATCAAATGATTCAGTGTTCTCCCTTCCTTTCAAAATGTCTTCTTGCCAGTTTCCCACAGTCTCTCGTAATTTCCTTCTCTAGAGGCTCTAGTTTTGTCTAGGACTGATTTGACATTCCTGACCATCTGTGGAAAATGATGCCTCCCAGAAGACACCATTCTTTAAGACCTTCCTATCCCAATCAGGACAATAAGCTCTCTCTTAAGGTCAACCCTTACCTTCACCCTGCACTTGTACCTTTCCTCATCATCACTGATGCTCCTTCCTTCTCCATTGAGCCCAATGTTAGCATGTGAGGCTTTTGAGCTTCCTTGTTTCATTATTAATGGAGCTTGAGATTTTGTTTCTTGCTTTGGAAGCTACATTGCAAATAAAGGTAGGGGCAGGAAGTGAGATCTGATTTGCTGTCTGGTGCCAAGGCTATGGTTAGATCTTTGAGGCGAATTTCTAAGTGACTTTGGGTTAGAGTCAGAATACATGTTTAAGGTAAATAGAGAAGAGAACTCTCTCTCAAGTGGGGGAATCTCAGAGACTAGTGTCTTGGAGAGAGGTTTATTGGCTAAATAATAATTCCTTACATATGTTCAGCATTTCACAGCTCACCAAGTACTTCTTTGAGTATTATCCCATTTGATTCTTGAAACAATGCTCTAAGGTAGCTGGGAAAATACCATTGTTCCCATTTTATACACACTCTGCACTCTTCAGTAAGGACAGCAGAACTTATGGGACTTATTCACAGTCATTCAACACTTTATTGTAAGAACCAGGACTGAAACCGAAGTTTTCTGACTTGTGAAGATCATATGAATAAGGCAGGTATGTAACCCACCTGAGAAAATGTCTTCTGCCTTTATGTATTTAGAGAGTGTTAGTCTCTGTCCTCATTTTCTTTCTGAATCCTGGATCTGTGTCCTTTTTTTCATTCACCATGCTGGAAAAATAGATAAAAGGAAGTGATTTGGAGAGAAGGAAGAGAAGAACACGGTTCTTGATCTCCAGGGACTGGTTCTAAGACATGCTTCTGAGGCTGAGGTTGATGCTATTGTGAAACCCAGTATGAAGCATAATCTCGTTAGGTCTAACCAGCAGAGAGTGGGAGAACAGTGTCTCTCTTCACTTCTGCTTCCTTTCCTCCCTCCTTTCCCACCCAGCTTTTGTGGTTTGTTAATTATTTGAGGCAAGGGTATTGGAGGTGCCTAGGCTCTGTCTTCTGACTCAGTCTCATCCCTCCCTGTCCCATAAAAATGTCTCAGAGGCCTTGTGGATCTGAGAATATGAGGCAAACCAACCACCTCGCCCTTTCTAGGCTTGTACATGGGTTTCTGAACTGTCCCCCAACAAACCCTCCCTATGATCCCACCCACCCAGCCACTATTGCCAGCCCAACTTACTGGAAATCTCTGTTCCTCTAAAGCAGACATTGGCTTTGTTCCCAGAGCCAGGCAAAATGGAAATGCTTTCTAAGAAAAACACAAACAAGAGAATTACATCCTGATCTGACCAGTTGGAAATTTCTTCACAGTATAATTTTATTTATTCTTCATCAAGGATGCTTTATCCCTCTTTCTGCAAAGACTGGTCTGCTAGGTCAACAAAGTAACTGATACTTATTTTTTTCCCTAGTTATTAAAAAAAATCCAACCCATATAAATTGCTGTCAATTCTGGTGACTTATACTATAGTTAGAGCTCTGGTATCAAAAATAAATTGATATGATGGTCCTGAAAGAGCAATAGGATCCCCTTTCTTGAAAGACATTTAAAGATTTGAGAAACTCTGAAGTGCCTCTGGACTACGGCCCTCACTCCCCTACTTCACCTACAGCTCAGATTATGTTTTTTAGTAGTATGATTATTGGATTCAACTCACTGCCACCATCTTTGGATAATGCCATCCAAGAGCATGACTATTCTCCAATGTCTAAGTTCTCCAAAAACCTCTTTGTTTTCCTTTGCCCACTGCAGTCCAGTAAATGTTACATTATTTTAGAGGTGACCTAATTTGACCTTCAAATCATCCTTAAAATTGGCTTTCCCACAGTAAAAGAATTTCAGGCCACAGACTGTAACCATTGTGTTTATCTCACACAATATTGTTTTGAAGGCTTCTGTCAACGTAACTCAAGTTTGAAGCACTAAGCTGGCACTTGATATATGTTGCTGAGCAGTCTAACTACAGGATATACTATTTATTATTTTAGTAGCAATGGGAAGTATATGCCAAGCCTTGTTTTAGATGCTGCAAATGCCATGTGCCTATGAACAGTCCAGTTTTAGACTCTAAAGAAGCTCTTATTACATATTCATATTCCAGTTCATAGATATTTCTCCTAGACTTTGGTTTTCAGATTATTTAACTGTTATGTTTTTACTCAACTTTGTATCAGTTTTTGCTTCATCTCTTTCCTTTGTCCTAATCCTTTGGAAGGAATAGCAACAGCAATGGTGATGAGAAAGAGCCCAAGAAGGGTAGACTTGAATTCTGCTTTTCATTCATTCATTCTGTGATCACCAACTTCTCCCTTTACTTCTCTTATCCCAGCGAATTTATATGTAATATTAGGAGAATAGAAATGCAAGGGACCCCAGGAATAAAATAATTACTTGTCGAAAATAAATGGTCAAAGATGACTATTGTCCAGGTGTTAGAGATGGAAAGGTAAATCAGATTTGATCCCTGACCCTAAGGGGCCAAACAGTCTGGCAGGAAAACAATCTTTGAGCCTAGAGTTTTTTCCTTGTACCCAGCACATGCCTTAAACTTCGTGAGTGCTGGAGAACCAGATGTTAATTTGGGCTTGGAATTTTGAGCTAGTTCTTTTACCATAATTGCTATTTCCAAGTGGAGCTGATCATCTTTATACTTTCTATTTCTAGGGGAGAAAGATATATTCTGGTATAGATCCTAGGTGTTCCCAATTGGCCTATAAATTGACTTCGTGATACAACAGAACAGGCATAAATTAAAATATCCTCTTCTGTTACTCACAAATTCCATACTTTTGGATAAGTCATGTCCCCTTTTGTGCCTCATTTTATCCCACTGATAATAAGAGGTTTGAATTAGATGAGTTCTGTGGTCCCTCCTACTTGAACATTCTTTGAGTTGAAGATCATGGCCACATCACTCAGCCCTGCTACCAGTGCCCAGGCTCTGGCGTTAGGCGTATGTGTCTAAGCTATTTGGTTGTCTCTTTTTCTGCCCCTTTCTCCCTTCAATCCATCCCTAGTATCTGTACACCAGATCCACTGCCTTGGGCCTACCATATATATTACATTGGTGCAAAAGTAACTGTGGTTTTCGTCATTAAAAGTAACCGCAGAAACCACAATTACTTTTGCATCAACCTAATACTTCTGCTTCACAGTTTCTCAGTTCCTTTTTTCCGTCTACTGCATTTCTTCTTGAAATTGGAATCGTTCTCTCCCTGGATTTTACCCAATCCCCCTGAATCGGCAGAGGACTCTCAGCTTCTCTCCTCAGCTTGAACTACATCTCGCTCCTGTGAACTTGTTTTCTTCAAGGCTTTGTAGCCTCTATTTTATAAGCAACACCTATGGACTTCTGAAAAAACTACTTGAGAATGCTATTTTTTATGTTTTACACTCAGCTCCCTATTACCATGTCTTTGTATTTTGACCATTTCTATTACTGTTCAAGGTTACATAACCTCAATATATGCTACAGACTGAATGTGTTTTTGAAATAAGAGGCAGGGGAAAACTGTCATTAGAGGTAGTAAAATATAAAGCTTTTTTCTTTCTTTCACAATCTCCCTTGACTTGTCATGGTCATGTTGTTTTTCAATTTGCTATTTAATGTTCTAAATAAAGAAAAATTGAAATGGTAAATTACTAGCATAGATTTACCATTCATCTTGATATTGTGCAATGACACTTTTAAATGCAAAAATAAGGGTATTTCACTCCTATGAGAGATTACTGAAATCGCACAATTTATACTTCATAGCTTGTACATGCATATATATTTTGCTCTTTTCAGAACACTGTAAGCACTGCACCAAACCAATTCAAGTATTTGTACTTTTCTTCTTAATAATATGCGCATTCTAACAACACTCTCTACCTTTGACTTACTGATGAGTAAGAGAGGACTGAAAAGAAAAGGCACTATGGTTTGCCCTATCTTTCTCTTTCCTTCTATGGTATCATTTTCAGTGCAAATGGTTGACTAATAGAGGAAGTAACATGAGTAATGAAAGATATGACAGAGTCCCTTGCTAATTCTTGTTTCTTAGAATGTCCTTGCCCTCTTTCTGGCTTGAATGAAAAATGTGGCCTCCTGGGACTGTCAGTGGTGTGGTCCCCACGTCCTTAGTCATAGACATAACATACTTACATTGTACTTGATTTGAGTCCCCTCTGAGCTCCCATGCATTGTAGATTCATCAGAATCCTGTGCTCATGGAATTTTATGAACACTATACACAAATGGACGGCAAGAAATGGCAGTAAACACTTTTATTGTAGCTATCTCCTCTGCTCCTGCACACGCTCCATGGTACTGCTGGACTTCACTTACAAAACACAAATACAAAGACAAAATTACTAAGATTACCAAGAATTTTAATTTCAAGATGGCAACAGAGTATTAAACCAAAGGTGAAGTCGTTCTGAGTGTGGGGTTTGTAAGACAGCACTGGTGGCACTCCCAGGAGCTCGTCTTGGCCAGGTCGCACCCTTGAGTCCATTGGAACCTGAATCTCACCCTACTCTGCTATGCTGTAATGACTCCAGCTGAATTCAAGGAGTTACAGTTCAAGACTCTCCAGACTCTAGTGGCCAGGCCATCCCACTTGTGGTGAGTAGCTTTAAATAAAATATGCTCACAAATTATTTAATATACTTTCCTTCAAGAGATGGAGCTTAATTCTTTTCAAGTGTGGACTATTTTTAGTGACTTACTTCTAAAAAATATTATAGGGCAAAAGTGATGAAGTATGACTTCCAAAACTTGATCTTGGAAGATATTGCATCTTCTATCTTCCTGTCTTTCCTAGATCACTTGCCCTGAGGGAGGACGTCTGCCATATCATGAGGATGCACAACCATCCCATGGAGGGTGCTAGATGCAGAGCAGCTGAGGCCTCCTGCTAGTGGTCAGTGAGGAACCGAGGCTTCTTGCCAATGGTCATGTGAGTGAGTCATCTTGCAAACAGATCCCCTAACGCCAGTTAAGCCCTTCAGGCAACTGCAACTTGGTCAAGTCTTAACTGCAACCTCACGACAGATTCAGAGCCATAGCTACCAGCTAAGCTGCTCTTGAATTCCTGACTCAGAAACTTTGAGATCATGAATCTTTGTTGTTTCAGGCCTCCAACCTTAGGGGTAATTGGTTATGCAGCAATAGATAACTAATATACCACTATTTATAAGCTTGGTACAACCCAAACACCAAAGCATATCCAAGAGTTTTCTTGGCCATGTTAGGCAGTCTCAGAAGTCCTCAAAATGAAAAGCAGACAAGCCTCTATTCCTAGAATGCACATTAGGCAGATATAATATTTAGCTTTTCTAGAATGCTTTATTTTTTAGGCACTATACAGTAAAACCAGGGCTTATTTCCTTGCCTTGATAACTGGTGATATAGGTCCCTGTGCCACAATTCTGCGAGACTCAGACATCACTTGTCATTTGGAGGAGAAATTTTGAATCACATTCTCCACTGTTCCTTGCAGGCACCCAGTGGTAGTAACCCACTGCTAAGCACAGTGAAATTCAGCTCAATTAGACAGCCTTGCTCATGCTTTCCCCCATCTCTACTTCACTCCCCTTTCTTTTCCCACTAACTTCCTGGGAATCACCCCTTGAGGACCTTGGTGAGAGCAGTGGACCAAACCAAGACAGTTGTTTGGTCTGGTGTTTTGGGGTGGGGAGTGCTTTCCAAGTCGATGAGATTACTATCCCCTAAAAAGGGAGGAAGCACAGATGTCTCTCCCAACTCTTGCTTCTCTTACTTGGCAGTCTGACCTATCAGGCAGGCTAAGTGGCCTAAACTAGTTCAGGCCCTAAGACAAAAATTTTTTTTTCTTGTTGTCCATGACATTAGGAGAATGCATCACTTAGGAGAATGCGTCAGGCTGGCCTTTTCTTACAATACCAATGCTAAGTCTCTACCCTGAGTTTGGAAGTTAATTAGAAGGAAAAGAAGCAGAGGCGTATGAAGGAACTAGCAACATAGAGGTGCCTAAAATGGGGCCAGGGATGAACTGTAACTACACAAAAGCTGGCATTAAAAAGTACAGCCCCACATGGAAGCCTAGCCCCATTGTCCTTAGCAGGTGGTCTGGGCTGCTAGTTTGGCCGGTCAGGGATGGCTTGTGCCCCTAGGCAAGAGGCAAATGGTATTGTGGTTAAGGATGAAATTGGATTATAAGTAAAGGAGATTTATTTAGGAAACAGCTGGAATTGACAGGGCAGGTTATTGGGGCTGGCTTTAGCAGCTTTGGGGCCCAGCAATATTGAAGTAGCTCTTTTATCTGTTGATTTTAGCAGTATTGACAGTGACCGTTGAGTTTATCAAGAATGGAGTCATCTAGGGAAGAGGCACTTGAGAAAGCAGGTATCTGATATTGATGGGAATGGAGGTCAACGGGGTGTTTTTTGTCTACCTGAGAGTACTGAGGAAGCTTCCCTTCTCTGGAGTCTTCTAGTTGTATGAGGGTGTCACTTCTGGTTGTATGAGGGTGTCACTGTTAACCAAGCCAGCAAAGGCTCATCCCCAGACAGGCTATTTCTCAAGCATGACTACAGGCCTCGAGGCTTGAAGCTCCTGCAGGTCTCTATAGTGTGACATTTTTGATGGTGAGGCACTGGCCCAAGTTTTCTCCTCCATCCTGCCCTGAGGCAGGGGCTGAAGAACTGTCAGGTTTTTTAGGGCATAGGGAGGAAGCTTTCACGTCGTGCCCATGTCATTCCAGAGAGGTAGAACTTTCTCCCAACATATTTGAAAGGGAAATTCTGACCCTCCATCTGTTGTGGTATGTGTGGGAGCCTGAAACTGGGAAGACTGTATTTCCTGGTTGCTTAGTGCTAAGGCACTGGAGATCACTGACTGCTCAGCCATGGCACAACCGCTTGTCTCTTTTGCTCCCTAGCCCCACCCGACCCTGTGATCAGGTACAGGGGTGATGTGCTTGAGCTTCACGTAGTATCTCCCAGGTCACTAAGACGGGGAACTTGCACTTGCCATTTCCCATGTCTTCGCCTCTAGCTGACCCTTCTGTGCAGATTAGCTACATTTAACAAGAAAGGAGTAGGAAGCCCCCACTCTGGATATGCGCCTTTGTTCTCCAATCTAACCATTTCTAGAAATGGATGCTGAGAAGTGAAATTTGAGGCTATTGTATAAATACAAACATATGTAACATACTGAATGTATATTCATATACATATATAATTTTTTCTGATCAATTTGAAAGTTGCTGACAGGATGCTACTTTATTGCTCAACACTATAATACTAGAGTACATATTTATTACAAAAGAAGCACATTCTTTTACATAACCACAAGATAATTATCAAAATCAGGAAAGTAATATTCATGCATCATAGCTATATTCAAATCATCAGGGCTTATTTGTATTTCTCCAAATGTACTAATAATATTTTAATGGCAACAGAAAATTCTGCTTTGCTTTCAGTTGCTGTCCCCGTTTAGGCTGCTTTAATTTAGTACAGTCCCTCAGTCTTTTTTGTCTATCATGACATTGACAACTGTGAAGAATGCAAGCCCTGGTTATTTGATAGATGGTCACCCAAGTTGGGTTTGTTTGATGTTTCCTCTTGATTAGATTTAGGTTATGAAATTTTGGCAAGGATATCACAGAAGTGGTATGTTCTTCTCAGTGCATGATATCAGGGGACATATGGTATCTTATTTGTCTCATTTCTGGGGATGAGAATTTTGATCACTTGATTAAGGTGGTGTCTACTGAGTTTCTTAAATGATAAAATTACTAGTTAGTTAGCTTCTAATTAATGAGAATCTCATGGAAGGGTACCTTAGGATTACCTCAGTATCTTCTTACTCCTTAAACTTCCAGCTGCTAGTTTTAGCATCCATTGAAGATTTTTGCCTGAATCAATTGTTATAATGGTTACCAAAGATTGACATTTAAATTGACCCCTGGGATTGTTTCTATGATTATTGGTTGGCTTTCTACCGTACGAAAGAACATTTTCTTATCACCTGTTTTGTTATTTATTCACTCATTTATCCATTTATATCATGGATTTTATTTTTTCTGTGAATTGTATTTCTTTTTCTGTGAATTGTATTTCTTTACTATGCTTATTTACTTTGATTAGCAAATTGTCCAGGTTTTTTCAGTCTAAGCCCTTTCAAGCTGGTTCCTGTGTCCGTTTGACATATCTACATCATTCTTTTAACACATTCTCACTCTTCTGGCACAACACCATATTCTTAACTCATCTTACATTTTTCCAGAATCAGCCATTTCTCAAAAGGGCTTTATTCCATTTAGTGGCAAATGGCATTTTCACTGATTACTACAAGGTGCCATTGTTTCTAGGGCCTGTCAACAGAGATAGACAGCGGATGTATATACACACATACACTCATATATACAAATTTATGTGTGTACGTATGTAATATCCATGTCTATATCCACAGGTGTACCTCAAAGATATTGTGCAATAAAGCAAATATTACTATAAAGCAAGTCACATAAATTTTTTGGTTTCCTAATGCATATAAAAATTGTTTACACTATACTATAGTCTCGTGAATGTGTGATAGCATTATGTCTTAAAAAACTGTATATACCTTAATTAAACCATACTTTATTGCTAAAAAATCTTAACAGGCTGGGCGCGGTGGCTCAAGCCTGTAATCCCTGCACTTTGGGAGGCCGAGATGGGCGGATCACAAGGTCAGGAGATCGAGACCATCCTGGCTAACCTGGTGAAACCCCGTCTCTACTAAAAAATACAAAAAACTAGCCGGGCGAGGTGGCGGGTGCCTGTAGTCCCAGCTACTCGGGAGGCTGAGGCAGAAGAATGGCATAAACCTGGGAGGCGGAGCTTGCAGTGAGCTGAGATCCGGCCACTGCACTCCAGCCTGGGCGACAGAGCGAGACTCCGTCTCAAAAAAAAAAAAAAAAAAAAAAAATTCTTAACAATCATCTGAGCCTTCAGTGAGTTGCAATCTTTTTGCTCATGGGGATTCTTGCCTCAGTGTTGATGGCCATTTACTGATAAGGGCGATTGTTGCAAGAATAGGGTGTCTGTGGCAATTTCTTCAAATAAGGTAACAGTGGAGTATGCCACACTGACTGACTCTTCCTTTCACAAAAGATTTCTCTGTAGCACACAATGCTGTTTGATAGCATTTTACCCACAAAAGAACTTCTTTCGAAATTGGAGTCACTCCTCTCAAACCCTGACACTGCTTTATCGACTAAGATTATGTAATATTCT